TTGCTATCTCAACTTTTCTTTTTTTCCTCGCCGTTAGTTCAACTGGTAGTCTTTCGATATTCAGAAAAAATAGTATTTTTCTAGTGTAAAAATTTACAGTACTGGATTTTGAACGAAAAAAACTTTAAAATTTGGTCGGGAAAAATAAAAAACAAGAAAAAATCATTTAAAAAAAAGCAAAAAGCAACTCGAGATATGGACTAAAAAATATTACACAATTCTTGAAGATTAAAAAGGAAGTAGTAATAAAAAGATCAAAAATTAAAAAGTTTGAAAACCGCAAATAATGGAGCCCAAAAATAATGGTACCTTTAACAAAAGCAGAGTTTTTTTTTTTTTTTTTATAAAAAATAAAAATGCTCCATTTATTATCTTTTATTTTCAAAACTTTTTGAATGAGTTTGTAATTTTTGAAGGTATTCAAATTGGTTGGAAGACATACGTTGATGGATGAAGTGGACTTTGATTCAAATCCTTCAGTACTTGGTGTTCTGGAAACTGTACAAACGGTCGAGAAGGGGTTGAGTCATGCGTAAGTGCTTCTCGTGTTTTTTGTCCGTGTTTTTTCAATGGAAATAATTCCCGGCAAGCAGCCGCGCCTCACTTTTTCTTCCCTCAGCAACCAAAACTCGTTTTTTTTAATGACTAACCCTATTTTAGGATATTTCAAAACCATTGGAAACTAGAAATTTTCTGATTTGTTTGCTGTATATTAGCGAATTTCTTGCAGTGAAAAATAGCATTGATATCGTAGAGTAGATCGAGAATTCGACCGTTCTGGTCGTATACGGGAACTGAATTTGAAATCTTTGAGTCGCACATAGACACGCAACAACATCCCAAAACTTCAGCTCCCTAACTTTTCTGGTTCCTAAGTTAGCGATTTTCTTGGATTGCCTATCTTTCTGCGGTTTGTTCTTTTTTTTGATGATAATTTGGTACTGGCGCATACCAAAGAAGTCAAACCCGCTACCGGCTTGCTTGCAAGTAAACCCTCGAAAAAAGGAGCGATGGACGAGCCTTGCCAGCAAGTGATTTCTGTTGGCATCCATACCATCTTCCGAATTCCTCAACCTCCCATTGAGGGTAAAAATTCGGGGAAGGTTTTGACGTACTATCTGGTAGCAGTTCAGCAATTTCCTTTTCAGTATTCGAAATCCGTTGTTTGGTGGTTCCCAAGGACTTACTGCGCCACGTGTTCGACCACAAAGTCAGTTCAGACGTGCAATGTCGACGATGCAAGTGGGTATCACCAATACACTGTCACGTTTGCATTCGCGCAACAACCTCCATCGTATCGACGAGAACTGCGAAGATCGTCCAGATCGGCCAGCAACGATTTCATTCGGTACGCCAGGTCGTGGCATTCGACAAATGCTCTCCACTTCAACATTCCTTCCACGGCTTGGACGCCGTGATTCGTTTTTCTCACAATCCGCTAAAGAATGAAACAAGCAGAGATTTATGGATTTTCAGTGGTAGACAGGAGGGTCGATCGCTTCCTCAATTATTTTTATTTCTCAAAAGAAAAATAAGTCATGCGGAGGATTTCAACCTGTTACCTCTTTATATTCATGCAGTTCCCTTTGCGAAAAAATCCTTTGCTATAATAGCGGGAAAATTTACGAATGTGTAAGGCAAATGTACAGAAACGTAGGCGACAGCGAGACAGCTTTTTTTTCAATTTTTTGGTTGAAGTCCTCCGCATGACTCATTTTTTTTTTGAAAAATAAAAATAATTAAGGGTGCGACTGACCCTCCTGTACCTCACATTTCTCTTGTGGACAACGGCAGTTTAGAGTAACTCGAATTTACAGCGGTCAATTTCTAGCTAGGCTAGCTCTCGCTGATTTCTTATGTCATAAAAATAAGGTAATATTGATGGCTGTGTCAGCGGGTAAGTCTTTCTGTTAGAAATATTAACATTTGAGCTGTAGACAAAAAGGAACCAGGTGGGTAAGAGCGCCTATTTTGAGCACGAGAACCTGTACGCGCGTGTAGATTAAGTTTCCAAAGTTTCACCCTTGTAGCTTTTGTAGGCCTCGAGATGAAAAATCGGTACAGACGCACACGCAGGCAAACACACACACACACACACACCCAGACAGCTCCTCGACAGTACGCGTTTTTGCATTGCATAAGATGCAAAAAAGCTCATAAAAATTTATGTGGTTGGATCACTTTTTCGTAGTCTTGACCTATACGTCTTACATATCGTCTTATTCAGTGTTGATTTGTCCCTCCGTTCTGTATAAAATACGCTTTAAGTTGTACTTGACATGTTCATTATACTTGCCATTTTTCTAGTACTTTCAAGTAACTCTTGCCCTTTTTTCGCTCCAATTTACCGAGTTTTTTTTAAAATAAGCAATGCTCTGGTTTCCTGAAAAATGTGGAATTTCAAGATTTTATGGGCATCAATTTTTTTTTGAGTTTTTTCTCCAGGATTTCTGAAATTTTTAATAAACGTGGAATGAGTTTTTTGATTTTCCAAGAAATTGAAAATTTTTAAAATTAGCAATATTTTTTAAGCAGTTTTTTGCATCGGGAATCTTTTTATGATTCTTTTTCTTCCACTCTTTTTTCTACAGAGCTTTCAGGCTTCGAGATTTTTTTGGGAGTCGCCAGTGGGTAGGCGATTGGTTTTTGAAATCTTTTATAAGGTGTACGGAGCTTCCAAGGTTTTAGTTTTCTGCCTCAGGATTTTCCGGGTTTTTTGTTTTGAGAGCCTTAAAATCACTTGTTTTTTTTGTGTTTCCTGCCTTTTGCACAAGTTAATCTCGCCATTCTAATTTTATCACTTATTTGTTTTCTTATTTTCGTACCGTTTCGTTTGCCACCTGTCGAATTACATCATTTTCTAACCGTCTTATCACTTCTGTGGTCACACCATGCCTTGTATTTAAACACTCTGTTTTACTGAAATCGCACATGGAAAGGTGCCTGTAAAATTATTTTGTGGTTTTTAGGAATTAAAAAAAAAATAGTGAAATGGAATGATGCATTTTGAAAATTTCATGAAAATTTCTCACGCTTTAAAGCGATGATTTTGAAAATTTGTGAATTTTCTCGGGATTTGAAACAACTGGACTTGAAGACGCATGAAATTTTGCGGCTAGTTCTTTATTGAAGTGGTGAATTTGATATTTAATGGAAGTGTATCATGAAATGTATTGACAAGCTTGAAAATCACGTAATTATTTTGAATTGGAATTAGGTCGTGGATTCAAAAGAATATC